TTTCTCTTTTTCCATCTTCTGCGTCCTCGAGACTTCTGGTCCCCGTGCTATCAGGCTAGATGGCCAGTCTCTGCAGTAATGCCAGACCCGCTGCCGCGGCGTATCCTCTCTGGCCAAAAATCTCTACAAGTGGTGGCTTCTTCTAGAATTCTGGAATCCTCTAGAATCTGATCTGCCAGTGACCAATCGATGCATCCAGTAGATGTACCAGAAATCCTGCCACCGGCAGTAATGTCAAGTTACCACACTGCCCATCGAGGCTGGGCCTCCAAATTTATTAATCCTATCCGCACTTTTCTGATCTCTCTGTCGTGTCTCGTGAGCCTTTCCCTGCGAACGCAAAGAAGCTGATTGCTACAGCTTTGGTGGTCTAATTTAGAAGACTGGGTATACGGCTCTCACCCCGAGCGCTTAACAGGTCTGCTTCATACCTTCACGATCCATGGACGATCAGTCTCAATGTCGAGCGGAATTCCGCACTGAATCGACGGAGCATGGTCCGCCCAATAACCAGTTTGTGTCCACACCTCTTCGCCTTAGTGGATAATCCCATCGTGCACCAGGTTCACGGGGGCCTTTTTCTCCCAGGCACAGGATTTGGTCGTCGCTGGCGGAAGCTTCAAGAGTGTCAATGTGACTTTTGCGCCTCCCAGTCAGGCTGAACCTTCTGGTGGCCTAGGATACTCGTGTTTTGGGGACTAAACTAATCATCAACGGATAGACTTTCGCAGAATCCCAATCGGGGACCTCAATCTCCTACATGAGATATGTCTGGACTGCAAATCCGGTGTAGTGTCTCGTCGGCAAGGGGAACATTCTGGAAGACGCCTGTACTATGCACGGATCCTCGGCTTGCAGTCGGCAATGACGGTGGCTTTGTATCAGGGCGAGCATTCGGAAGAGGTATGTCATGACTCTACTCCTTGGTGGACATGTATGCACTCCCTTTCGTAGGAATGGGGGCAACATATCGCACGATGTTCATGGTTCCGGTAAGCGTGTATTTGGTCCTCGTTCATTGGACGTTAAACTCAGGCATAGCCATCCGAATTTGGTACAACTCTGTGCCATAGCGAAATCCTCCGACATGCACGCCGTTATACTCCATGAGGGTTGAAGTTTCTTCCAGTCAACTCAACTGCACGCTCATGGCCATCAATATTAGAATTGATCCCTGTGGACCAAATGGTGGAGAAGTACCGTCGTTCGGATTTATCAATGATGTATATCGCTTGGAATCTTGTACGTCCATCCATTTACTGTGAGGCTGCGAACCGTAACATCAATTTTATAGGGGAGAGACTTCTGGGTAGGACCATTTATGTCTCGAATGCGCCGCTTGACGTACTGTTAGGATGCCAAGCAATATGCCCATGCTGTCTCAGGGGAAATTCCGGTGAGTGTATTGTTTCGGGCATGCGTGCATCCTAACACGGTCTGAGTATTTGTGCCAATGTACAATGTGGATACGGCCTTCAACCGGTCGTCTCTGTGTTGAGCTTACACCTAGCGAGAACGAAAGCCCTTCCCTTTACACCTTCGGCTTCGAACAATCATTCTGGCCCACGCCCTCGCTGCTTGAACCTCTTGAAGACTCAGAGATCATTGCCTCCTTTCCGTTGGACAGCTACCACAAAATATGTGTCGATCATTTCTCGCACTATCGCGAGCTCTCCGTTTCCGCGAATGCAGCCGTGCATATGGGATCGATTATTTCCTGTTGCGTTGGCTTTGACATCGAACAGTGGACCGAGATTGCATGTATTCCTGGTTTGAAGGTCACTGATCTCGGTTGGTCGGCGATGGGAAAGTCGCAGATAGTTGCAGAGCGTGGGTGGACTCGGCGAGTATCTCCTTTAGTACATGTTCATTGTCTAATCTTTTTTACCATCTCAAGTATATACTCCTCCGACATTAAAATGGGAGCCAGTTCCCGCCATATGTGCGACGCGTATTCTGAGATTTCCCGCAGCCGCCTATGCTGGCTCACACAGGCAAATCATATTTTCGATCGACTCAAGATAACCTCCGACCGCAGAAATTACGGTACGAACGCATCCTGATGCGCATTCTAAATCCTGTAACCCTTCCCCAGTTCTCATAACCCACATCTCGTATGAACTCACACTCTCCAATACTAATATTGGCAACCGCATCACGATACTCCCCCCTGGATATCTATTCCTCTGTCCGTTGACGGAACTGAAATCCGACGGCCCGTTCCGCTTTCGTCTTCCGAATCGCCCGGCATACTGGTCCCTCCACCCATCGGGAATCGAACCTCTCAGCACGGAGGAGGCGGTAGAATTCGGGTTTCCCTCCCTCGAGCTAACAATGACGGTCTCGGGATGCTCCTGGGACGACAGCATCTACGCTGGCCTCCGGCAATTCCATCAAGGCAAAGGATACGCTCCTGAAAGCCAGGAGCTCGCCCGAGACCTCGGGTTTCCACTTTACCAGGTGTCTTGTGAGGAGTATGATTCATTTCGACTCAACGAATTCAACCCAACAAATGAGTGTCCTCATGAGGAATCTGGTGCGCATTTTCGAATTATTTCGACTCGCATATGAAGCCCAATTTCAGAACCAAATTCCTCGTTTACAGTGGAAACTTCCTGGACCTCTTGCGATGTACAGATGTCTGAACCGTCCAAGGCTGGCAGCATTATCATGGGTGTCCAATTTACACTCATGGTCACGGCCCTGATTTTGTCCTGGTTGAATGATGAGTTGTATGCTGTTCAGTTTGGGGATTTAATCCCCCATATATAGATTGGGCCGAGTATATATATAAGTTTGCGAAGCGGGCATATATATCGAATCTGCAAGCAAATATATAAACTGAGAGTCTAGTAGTTATATCGCGAATATCTGTCAGTCCCCATTGCAAATCTGAGTGCTGGTATTGTAAGTATCAAGGCAATATCACAGTTTGCTGGCCAAATATATCTAATGTGCCGCGGATGAGTTCTATCTAAAAGTTGGACTGACATATATATATTTGGTTTCTTACAATTTAAATTCTGGTTGGCACCTCTCGGATCGTCTCGGATGGTGGAAAGCCATGCCCGCCCATCACGCACAGTGGTCGGCGAGTACAGGGCGGCCACGGCGGCGTCGCGTCGGACGCGGTCCGCGCTTCAGATCACGGATCACGATGTCGTGTGCGGCCACGTGATCATCAAGGTGTTTGGCGATTCGCCGGCGAGCTTGATGGCTTACCACTACCATCTCGCCCTCTATTGGCTCAGCGGTTCGCCTGCAGCTGTGGCCTAGTGGCGCGCCATCTGATTGTTGCAATGCCCGCAATTCCCTGGGCTCGCGAGGAAAAAACATGACAGAGACATAAATGACCAGGCCCCATGGGACCTTGCTGCGATCGAGCTTGAGGAAGCCGCTGAGCGTCTGCACAGTGATATTGGACAGGATGCCTGTGAAGCTGCGCAGAAGATGAGATGGGGCGCATGTCCGCAACATGTCCGTCAATTGGAGTGCTCCACCCAGAGGTTAGTGGCGGTCTCGCCTGGAAGAGCGTAGGAGTAAGACAACATGCCGTCTCGTATTTCTGTGTGCCAGCACTGGCCTTGAAGTCTTAAAAGCCAAGTGCCTCGAGCAGGATGGCCGGTTTTGCTGCTGAACTTTGTCTTGGTGAACTGGTACTTGTTTGGGGGTGGACATTACAGAGGCATGGGACATAGATGCAGACTGCCAAAGGAGGTACACAGAGGCTCTGCGTAAGACCCAGCATCGAGCGGCGGAAGTCAAAGTCGAGCTTCCGGAAATGGACGACAGCCACACAGCACCAAACATCGGTCCGTGATCCGAAACGCGAACGGCGTCCGACGCAACACCGCCGCAGCCGCCACATACCCGCCCACTACTCAAGACGGTGAGCGGGCACCTTTGTTTGCCATTTGAGACGATGCCAACAGATTCCAACTGGAATTTATATTTGTGAAACTAATTTAGATATATCCTTGTCCGGCCAATTAGATTTTAGATATACTCACCAATTCAAAGTTGATGTACATGTTCAAGTTCGCGATATCGACCGGCAGCTGGTCGCAATATAACAGTCGGCTGACTTTTTCGATATACAATCTTTCGATAGTTTGGATATTCGCTCGCAATATATATGTCGGTTTCACAAACTTATATATATACTCGGCCCAATCTATATATGGGGGATTAAATCCCCAAACTGAACAGCATAGAGTTGCGCTAGTACTCTTCGCCGAATTCAAAGACCAGATTCGGAAGCTAGTCGGTCTTGTACATCGTAAAGTTCCGTGATTATATTAAACACAATAGTGTACGGCTACGAAATTTATCGTGGGTGAACAGGTCGTGGCCGCATAAAAAGAGTTCCTTACACATTCAGACGTCGGGAGTCGAACCCGAGCGCTTCGGTGAATTGAAAATCATCGGCTCAATTCGATGCAGGCGTGCGTCGTACACCACGCCCGATTCCTTGCAAGGATGTGAAGCCGGTTATTCCTACAAGAAATATCGCGCTTGACAAAACCCGCAACGTACTCGGCGGGTGTCGAACCCGAGCTTCCTGTGTAATTGGAGGATGGAAATCTCAAGTATAAGCAGGCGTGGGCCGTGTACCACGTCCGATTTCTGGCAGAGATGCGGTACTGAATGGGGTCAAGGCAATTGAGTCTATGCTAAGCAGGGTGTTGAAAAATGAAAATCCGGTCATACTGACTTATCTGACGTATTCAGACGCCGGGAGTCGACCCCGCTTTCCCTGCTTGCAGTTGAACGAGAGACCGTACTTGAACCAGGCGTGCGCCGTGCGCCCGGTCCAAGTTCTTGTACAAGACGCAGCATGCATGCATGTAAAGCTGGGCAATTAATGCACTGGTGGTAGCAAATGGGGACTGAATTTACGATTGATTGCTTGAAAGAATGCGGAGGTGCATACATGTAGGCCTGAGGCAATCGAGCGTAGTGTTACCACCAAAGATAAAAAAAGCGGTCGCGCTGAATTATTCAGACGCCGGGAGTCGAACCCGGGTCTCCTGTTGGCAGTTGAACGAGAGTCTACAACTATATTTGAACCAGGCGTGCACCGTGCACCACGTCCGAGTTTCTGTACTGGGGCGCAACAAGCATACATGTACGGAACTTGGCTTGAGGGACTTGTGATAAGAAATGCGAAACTTATAATGCTTCAACACCAGTGCGCTTGAAATTCGAAACCCGCAGCCGCAAATATAACGGCATGTAGCTCACGAAGGTCAATTCAGGGATATAAAAACCGGTTTATAAACATGTTTCCAAATAGGCATTAAAAACAGAGCCCTATGCTGGGTGGGCGAAAATTCAGCGGAAAGCTTGCCAATCTCGAGGGGGGATTTTACTCGTCCAATCCTGGAAGGAGAAGAAACAAGGTCAGACACAAATCGAATATGGCCCGGGCCCGAATCGAACGGGCGTGATGCACAAGACATCTGCCATCAGCTAGAGAAAGCTCAATGAATGCGGACGGTCCGCCACAGGGTCTTTACTTGCTGCCAATGCAACGTATACGAATATACGCGCGGGATTCCAGCCGAAACGTCCACGCTCCGTGAACATTTATATTTGACGCGAAGATTGCGAAAATTCTGTTCAGTCAACAAACATTTCGTAGTTGGGTGAGCGCAGGTGAGGGGAAGATCGTAAGATCTGAGGTGGAACTGGAGGGACCTGACATTACTGTATTAAAGAATTGGTGGAAAAAGAGCTGGCATGACCTAGGCCTGAGTCGAATGGCGGCGTCTGCATAAGAATACAGCCGTTTTGGAAACTATAGAGGGGTTTTGTAAATCCTTGATGCTCGATTTTTGCTAGTCCTGTTGTTACCGCGGGGGTCCGATCGGGGTATTGGCTTATTACCAATCATCTTTGTAGCACTGGGATTCAAGTATTTGCGACGGGCAACAATGCAGATTGATACTTTACCCTGCTGCCAAGAGTTCTCTCCCTTCAGAATTTTGCAAATTGGCCTGAGTGTTTTGCTATTCAACAAGTTTGATGGTCAGTTTACGAGCATTTGCCAAATGATTGACAAAAGATTGGTAATCACCCGCCAAAAGATTGGTAATAAGCTGGAAGTCCGATCGGACCTCTGATAATGATGGTGGTAGGCCGGCAAGCGGCGGGGCACAAACAGAATGCAGGGAGCAAATCGGGTGAGAAGAGAAACTAGAAAATATTTGTTGCCGGCAGGAAGCCCTTTGAAGGTGATAATAAAATGATAATAGGGCTGCTCAATTGTCCCGTCGTTCGTGTCGTTCGTTCGCAAAATAAACAAATGTTCAAACTCCGACGGACCCTCTCTCATAGTATCCTCATCTACACCTCACTTGTCCCTCGTCAATGATGAGGTCTCGAATACCGCGCATTATCTATGCCACACAGCATTCTGGTTCCTTCGAACGAGGACGAGAGGAGTCGAGGACCGCGTCTTATTATTGGCACGAAAATGATGTTGCCTTGACTGCTAGAAGTCTGTGAGCTTAAGAGATTATCAGAATCCATGGTGCTTCCTGGTCTTCAGATCCCAAAGATTTTATCATCACCTTGGATGGGAGATCATGAGGAAGACTATGAGGAAACGGCAAAAAACAGTGGTTTGGTCGGAGTTTGAATTTATTTATTTTGCGAATGACCGACGCGAACGACAGTACAATTGAGCAGCCCTAATATAGTGAACTGTACCCACGAATCCACAGCCAACCTCTGTCGCCTGTGTCTGTCTAGTTTCCGGGATTTTTTTTCTCGTATGTTGAGCAATAAGAGTTCAGAGTGACGGTGAGGCCAATATCTTGAGATTAGCAGGGTTGATTGCATTGAATGAAGTTGAATTCAAAGTTGGTGATTTTGGGGAATGAGCATTGAGCATGATTTTCAAACTCCGCCCTTCAGCCGTGAAATTGGTGCGAGCCATGGGTTTCTTGAACTGCTCATGATGCATACAGGCTTGTGCCGCGAAATAAAATATTGTTTTCAGCACCTCTAGTATACAAATATAGTCGACAAGCCGCGGATAAGAATTTTACGATGCCAACTGTCAGGTCACCGGATCAGATTATGATGATGGAGTGTTCCTGCCGTCAGGATGCCGTAGATCCGGGGCACGGTGACCAGGCGGCAGCTCTAGAAGTTCGGAACTACCAAGACTTGAAGACATTTTTTAGGATAGACATATGGGGAAAATGGCCAATTTGTCCAGTAAATCACCCATAATTTTGAGGCATTCCACCCGTTGGGAGAGGCTGAGTTACCCCGCGTCGGCGAAGACGGCATGTGCACGTGCAGTGCATGATTACATAAGCCGAATCCGAGACATTTTCGGTACTCTGAGCACAACCAGAGACTTTGTCTCTGTTTGTGAACCAACAGACTTCAACAAGTGAGGCACGAGCTTCAGGTTGAAGCGTCTGTCTACAAGAGACTAGATTTTTGCTTACCTCTGTTTGTCAATTAAGAGCGGCTCCACACTGCCGTACACCGTTGTGGTTCACATTAGGTTGCAAGCCGGGCTATTAAACCACAAAAGCCCACTTGTGGGCTTCAGTCTTGTCAGAACACATACACTTGTAGCCTCTGAAGCCCAGCCGGGGTTGCACACAAGACAAACCTTGAGACAAACACAATTCGGCAGTGGTTCGGACGTGTGGAGCCGATGACGCGACAGCAAATAGATGTAAGCAAAAAATCGAGCATCAAGGATTTACGAAACCCCTCTATATTTTCCAAAACGGCTGTATAATGCGGAGCAGTAACATCGCGCAGTGCGGACCGTCCGCCACCGGGTCGGTACACACATCGAGAGGCGTCTGAATATGTGAGCGATTGGAAGGGACGAGGTTGTACCCGGTGCGAACTCCAGGTTGCTTCAATTTTGAAGCGGCAGGTCGTGTGCTCTTGAAGCGGGAATAAATACCGGAGCAGATAGGGGCACGGGCGCCGGGGAGCCTGAGCAACAAAAGATCGAAAGAGCGGGCAAACCGAGGCGACATGGAAGTTGGGAGCTGCCTGGTTCCCTGATTTCCACCTCTCAATTTATTCGAGGTAGCCTGTGAGAAGTTGTAAGCTTGTTAGGACATAGAATGTCCCCGTTGCATCCAGGTGCAGATACGGGCCGTCCGCCAAATGGTCTTACAAGGAAGCACATCGGGATAGGGGTGGGTTTGTTGAAGATTCAGCTTAGCGAGAGAGGGGGTGCTGTTAAGATGGTCGAGCTCGGTGTGGCTCAAAGGTGGTGCGGGGAGAGGCCAAAACCCTGTAAGACATGGGAGGGAGCAGCGAAGAAACGCAGGCAAAAAAACCAGCGATTCTTTGTATGACCCGGACCCGAGTCGAACGGGCGGCCTCTGGTGATGGTGTGGATCTTGAAGTTGAATATTCCTATGCGGACCGTCCGCCACCGAGTCTGCACAATGCATGGAGCGAACCTGAATACGTGTGCAAGTGGGGAGTAGTCCGCGAGTGGCCTTGTAGATGTGTAATACTAATCTTGGGGAGATTCCACTCGGTGTAGGTCGGCAATATCCAGCTCGACACGGTAAGAGAAGATTTCCCTAGCGGGATATATATTTACTGGTAAGATGTAAACTGGAGCGGTGTGAAGGGGGGAAAACGACTAGTCTCTTGCCTGTATATTTCAAAGAGGCGAGTTTGAGATGCGCAATGCTGACACTGACGAGTGGCCATGCTTTCTCGTAGGAGTGGATGGGGAACGCGTCTTTCATCCGGCAGAGATGTCAGGAACACGAGACGGATTCTGAGAAGCGCCAGCGCCAGCCACAAGAAGTTTCGGGGTCCTACGGACTCCTACCGCTCGTTCGGTGATAATCGGTCGTGTCGGTGATAATCAGTCGCATCGGTCGTCGCTGGGATCGCGGGGTTGCCAGAATCGAGCGTACACGGTCCAGCAATCAGGTTGCCAGTCGCGGAGTTCAAGACTCTAACCGTCTTACTGTATCCCCTGCTACGGCGGATCGGGGCCGAGTTATTACGGCACTTACCGAGTTGATCGAATCGTTTGATGCGCGTGCCCCTTGGGCTCGTACCACCATCTCCCCGCCTTTTCACCATGCGGCCCGTAGTACCCTTCCGCCTCTCATTTCTCCGTACATCACTGGGAACGCGGACCCGCCCCATCGTCCTCTTCCATGGCCGGCCAACTCTCTCTTCTTCTTTCTCGGCACATCCGAGTCAGCACCAGCAGCCGGCCAAGAGTCAGCAGCAGTCATACTTCCGCCGCCTCGACAGCCGCATTGCAGAGACGTTTGGAATCGGCAGAAACATGCGGATTGTGCTTTACGTTATAATTGGTGTCTCCAGCGCGATCGAGACGTGGTTCTACTGTTTCTGGACGTGGCAGTGGTGGAAGCGCAGAGCTGGACAAAAAAGCAACGACGAAGTTGAAGCTTGATGGGGCGAATTCCAGGTGATTGATTTCGTTGCCAAAAGCCACAAAGTTTGACCATCGACTCAGGAAAGATCGCTCGTCGGTGAAGTCTGCAGCGGTGGACAATCACATTAATTACGGCCATGTACTTCCGTGCCAAACTCGAATCCCTATTCAATAAAAATACGCTCCAGAGGCCAAGATGCACATCAAACTATTGCCCACATACATGTACATATCCACGAGCCTCATATGCGAGCCAAAATGAAACATTGGGGTCGCAGGCAGGAGTCCGGAGGGCAGTGTAAGCGCATAACCATTCTCGCTATCTTCCTCAGACTCTTCCGGGAATCTAGGTGAGTTACCTCACTCATGTTGCATCTTCCTCGACGTCGAGCAGCAGGTGTCGCCGATGGGCCACATGTTCCCCGTAGGGTAATCGGGTGTGAACAGAGCAAGAACCTTGCTGATAAACGCAGCGGTTGCGCTCAGCACAACCCAGATCGGAAGTTCCACCACAGTGACCGCGATGATCGATGAGTAGATGAGGGTGCCCGCAACATAATAGATCGCCCACCCGAATGGAACAATTAACACCATCCTACGACCGTGGAGTGGGGTGATGTCAGCGTTCGAGTTTGGGTCAATTCCCCGCCGTCCTTGTTCCATCCGACCATCGACAACC